CCCCAAAACCCCAAAACCCCAAAACCCCAAAACCCCAAAACCCCGTAAGAAATACATCAATGGAATATAGTGAATATTAGGATAGAAAATAAATTTTGATAAATTCGAAGTTTGTTGATTTATAAATATTTTAGGATTATGAAAGGTAGAAAAAGCAAAAAAAAGAGCGAAATTTCCGCAATGAGCTTAAATCTATCAGATAGTTTCAAGTCTGATTCAAATATTACTTACAATACTGGTCTATACAGCAAATATAGGTATAATTTAATATATAATCTTGGAATAGTAAGTAAAATGAATCTGAGAGTAATAAATGGAACATCCCTAATAATGTAGCTGAGGGGGTTTGACGTAAATCATATTAAAGTGTAATTGGTTCTCAATCAAATGTGAGCAGCTTGAATTAAAGCAATTTAGCTTCAAGTCTCACCCTCAACTCTAGTTTTAGAAATTTTGATACATCAAAGACATTTATTACTCAAAAAACAATTATTAATATTGGGTAAGAGAATCGCAGAGAAAGTTCAAATGTAGCAAAATTAGATTTTTCACAGAAGTTTGTTAATTCATCTAAACCATCCAAATTTAAAAATAAATAAATCGATAGAACCAAACTAGTTGATTCAATGTCAGATGATGATTCTTCAATATAAAGCACAGAATAAAATGTATCAATTATATTGAAAAATCGCAATCCATCCTTTAAAAATAAATGTTCGAGTACAAAAGAGACGCCTAAATCCAAACTCTTGCCATTAAACACTTACAAGAAATAAACAACGACTATTAAGTAATTAATGCAACTAGAAAATGAGAGTAAGATTAAATTGAAGCATCTAAAAACATTTTAGAAAAAGAATTTGAGGAGATAAAAAAAAGAAGATTATCCATGAGTAGGAAATTTAGCTCAATAGTATAATAAATCATATTAATATATCTTAGACATTATAAAAAACAGAAGATGCTTTAAATGTGCTAAGAACTAATATGCAATCGTCATATATTGATAGACAAATGGGCATCCCACTTAGATTGAATGGTAGATTTAAATACCAAAAGGAAATTGCAACTTTAAAGTAATAGTTAAAAAAGGTCTAGTTGATCAGGGCCATTTTAGCTTTCATAGTTGTTTTGCTATTATAAATAAATGTAAGCATAACTCAAATAAAAAACTTAAAACTAAATAGAATGAAATTCTAGTGGTAACAAACTATAGCTACAATAACACCTGCTTAGCAATTAAGACTATTGTGACAATCTTAACTATAGCTGAAATATTTTTAGTCGTTTTAGTATTTCAATACAAAATTGAAAAATTTAAATACCGAAATGATCGCCATAGACAAAGAGGTAATGTTATAGCTATTTCTTATAAACTCTATCCTAACTATTATATTAGTCATGATATACAACACTAAATATTGGCCTAGTTTTTTATTTGACTTTATTCTTCATTTCCTCATTAATCCACCAGGATTCAATTTGCACTTTCTAGTAACTTAATAAGGAAAAAATTGCTTTTACTCTTGGGATATGATTTGTGCTTGTATATCTTTGCTAAGACTTCACATTCTTATTGAGTTGATACCTAGTTATACTATTTTTACTAATCCTTAAGCCAAAAGAATTTGGTAAATTTTTTTTAATTAAATAGCTACTATAGTAACTAAACTGGAGCAAAATCTCACAATAAATTTACATGGAAAGCATTGATGAAGATTAATCCCTATGTACTGTTAGGATTCTCGATTGTCATAAGTGTTCTTTTTTTCGGTACTATAATTAGAAATTTAGAACGGTATATTAATTCAAACTTACTGATTTTACCAGAGCTAATCTAGACAGACAAGGGAAATATGAGTATTTTTGGGATTCATTTTGGGTAATTATAATTATAATGTTGACAAGTAATGCTTATTCCTTTTTATTAAATTTAGTTGGATACGGAGACAATGAAATTCAAACAAATCCTGGAAGAATTATTGCAATATTTGCCTGTCTTTGGGGTTCTGTCATTTATTCTTTGTTCATTTTGTCTATGAATGTACTAACAAAACAAGATGAAAGCGATGAGTCAGCCTATAAATAATTCAGGTAGGAAGATGGTGTAAAAAAACTTAAGAAGCCTGCTGGAAAGATTATTGCCAACTTCATTATGTTTAACTTTACCAGGAGAAAAAAAGAAACTTTAAGTAAATTCAAACTTAAAATATTTAAAATATAGTTTCACTGACAAAAACCAAGAATTATAAGCATCAGTCACCAGAATATAAATTGAAAACATAGCAAGAAATAGAAGTGATAAGAATGAATGTATATATGTTTAATATGATAAGAGTGATGAATGTTTTTAACTAAAAAAGAATGTAATCCTTCAATTAGCCGTTTAAAACTACATATAGAGTATTTTAGCATGTGGATGAAAATATTGATAAATTATTGTAAAGTATGGAATTTCATTTAGATATGTCGTGTAATGAGTCATATTTTCTGATCTAAAAATTTGAAGACACCCAATAAGTGGTAAGTAGTCTAATCAATATACATACCAATGACATAAAAAGATTCAAACCAAATTCAACATTCTAATTCTATTAGGTTGATGACATCATGGAAAATAATAAAAATAGAAAATAATCTACAAGCAAAAGCAAGATCCTTAGCTTTCAATTGTACAACTTTGCCAGAATGATTTCAGAATTCGGTTCAAGATCGGAAATCAAAGATATCAACTAAATAGAAGGAAAAACCTACATGACTCTTGATGAAATGAATAAATTCATATAGATAGAAGATGATGAGGAGAAGAAGGATGCCAATAAACCCTCAAATAAATGTATAAAACCCCAAAATAATATTGTAATAGCTAAAGATAAGGAAACAACAGCTGATTTAGGGAAAAAGACCTCAATTTTGGAATCAGATTCAAGTGATAGTATTAGTTCTGGTTCTGAATCTTAAAATATTTATTAACTTAGATAGAAGAAAAGAGCATCATTTCTACCAGACATCAAAGGTAATTCATTCAATATTAAGTATTAATTGAATCTAGCACCAGGAAACAAGATTAATACCAAAACTCTGGCTATACCATAGTTTACTCTAAGCTCAAACTAATAGAGAAATAATAGCAATAACTTGTCAGCTTTCTCTAATTCATTCACAGATCCAGAAAAAAGCCCTAATAGAAGCTATCTTTCTGGATTTAGAGATGCTATATAAGTGCAGGAGATGATTTTTGAGCATACCAGTGAAAGTGGCACAAATGATGAATTGAAGTAATCACTTACTTCTCAGTCAGTGAGCGGAGTTGACGACAACTCAGAGAAAAGTAGTTAAGTTCAAATATAATGAAGAGTATTCTAATCTAATTACCAATAATTAGACCCTTTTCAAATGAAACTCACCAAAAATTATTTTAAACTATAAGATATCGTTCAAATGAATTCCATTATTTATCATTAAACCTAAATTAAAAATATTTTTTATTAAAAAAATCCTTATGTCTGGGGTTTTGGGGTTTTGGGGTTTTGGGGTTTTGGGG